CCAGCTAAAAGAAGCACAACACTAGCTAAAATATCAAATCACCAGCTTAAAGAAGCAAAACACTAGCTAAAATATAAAATCACCAGCTAAAAGAAGCAAAACACTAGCTAAAATATCAAATCACCAACTAAAATAAGTAAAGCACAAGCTTAAAGAATCAAATCACCAGCTAAAAGAAGTACAACACTAGCTAAAATATCAAATCACCAGCTTAAAGAATTAAATCACCAGCTAAAATATAAAAACGTCAAAGGTAGCAAAAGACTGTCTAAAAGCTAAAAGTTGCTAAAGTCTAGGGGTGTAAATCACCAGCTTTACCACAATACGATATTATATTTATTTGTTTGTATGACGATACAGTTTTTCTCGATATCACAAAGTCTGTCACGATGCGATTTTGATTCTGTTCGATTCACAAGTCTGCGATCGATATATTGCAATATCAAATGCCCATCTCATTAACAAACCGGATTCCAAAAAAGTTGGGACACTAAACAAATTGTGAATAAAAACTGAATGCAATGATGTGGCGGTGCCAACATCTAATATTTTATTCAGAATAGAACACAAATCACAGATCAAAAGTTTAAACTGAGAGAATGTGTCATTTTAAGGGAAAAATCTGTTGTTTCCAAATCTCATGGCATCAACAAATCCCAAAAAAGTTGGGACAAGTCCATTTTTACCACTGTGTGGCATCCCCCCTTCTTCTTACAACACTCAACAGACGTCTGGGGACAGAGGAGACCAGTTTCTCAAGTTTAGAAATAGGAATGCTCTCCCATTCATGTCTAATACAGGCCTCTAACTGTTCAATCATCTTGGGCCTTCTTTGTCGCACCGTCCTCTTTATGATGCGCCAAATGTTCTCTATAGGTGAAAGATCTGGACTGCAGGCTGGTCATTTCAGTACCCGGATCCTTCTCCTACGTAGCCATGATGTTGTGATTGCTGCACAATGTGGTCTGGCATTATCGTGTTGAAAAATGCAGAGTCTTCCCTGAAAGAGATGACGTCTAGATGGGAGCATATGTTGTTCTAGAACCTGAACATAGTTCTCTGCATTAATGGTGCCTTTCCAGACATGCAAGCTGCCCATGCCACAAGCGCTCATGCAACCCCATACCATCAGTGATGCAGGCTTCTGAACGAAGCGTTGATAACAACTTGGGCTATCCTTGTCCTCTCTGGTCTGGATGACATGGCGTCCCAGTGTTCCATAAAGAACTTCAAATCGTGACTCATCTGACAACAGAACAGTCTTCCATTTTGCCACACTCCATTTTAAATGACCCCTGGCCCAGTGCAAACGTCTGAGCTTGTGGAGCTTGCTTAGAAATGGATTCCTCTTTGCACTGTAGAGTTTCAGCTGACAACGGCGGATGGCACGGTGGATTGTGTTCACTGACAATGCTTTCTGGAAGTATTCCTGAGCCCATTCTGTTATTTCCTTGACAGTGGCATTCCTGTTTGAGGTGCAGTGAGGTTTAAGGGCCTGGAGATCACGAGCATCCAGTAGAGTTTTACGGCCTTGACCCTTACGCACAGCGATTGTTCCAGATTCTCTGAATCTTTTGATGATGTTATGCATGGTTGATGATGATAACTTAAAAGTCTTTGCTATTTTACGCTGGGTAACACCATTCTGGTATTGCTGCACTATCTTTCTGCGCAACAATGGTGGAAATGGTGATCCTCTTACCATCTTGGCTTCTGAGAGACATTGACACTCTGAGAAGCTCTTTTTATACCCAATCATGTTGTCATTTGACCTAATTAGTGATAATTGGTCTTCCAGCTGTTCGTTAAATGCTCAATTTCCTTTTTCCAGCCACTTATTGCTACTTGTCCCAACTTTTTTGGGATTTGTTGACACTGAAATTTTGAATCAACATATTTTTCTTTAAAAATGTTACATTTACTCAGATTAAACTTTTGATCTGTCTATGTTATATTACGAATAAAATATTGACATTTGCCATTTCCACATCATTGCATTCAGTTTTTATTCACAATTTGTTTAGTGTCCCAACTTTTTTGGAATCCGGTTTGTATATATAAATACATTTACAACAACAATTCAAATATGATTTAACCATTTTATTTTATTTTATATAATTTTATTACAGGCACCAGACATTTAAATTAAAAAAACAACATTTTTTCTTAATTAATAAAAAATAAAAATAAATGACCTGTTATAGTGAGACTATGCTATAGTCTCACATTTCTCATGTTTAAGTGCATTTTTTAAACCAGTTAACTTAAAAGTGTCCTGATTACCTTTCAGTTATAAAGAAACAAAAATAAATATTGAGCTTATGGCTATCGATGTACGTTTCTTCTTCAGGTGAACGGCCAAATTTGTTGTTTCCCGCGTATTTGAACTCACACTGGCACCTGTTGCATACGACATGAGTTTTGTCTGTTGAGCCGTCCTTCTGTCAGAATTTGAAATATTTCCTCGGTGTTGATTTAAATCCAGCAGGAGAGTGAATTTCATTATGTGCTTTCTGCCTCGTCTGCCATGTTGCTGTGGCGGCCGCAGAGCGCAGCCGCGCACGGAAATGGTGACACAGACGTGCCTTGGGAATTCAAAATAAATGCGTACTTTAAAGATGATAGGAATCAATGTTTTAGTTTTGCCACGATATAATTGAATCATTAATCATTTAATTGATATATCGATTTAAATCGATGTATTGTTACACCCCTAGATAAAAGTAGCTAAAAGCTAAATTCAACAGACCTTTAGTTGAAAGCTGAAAGTAGCAGAAAAGTCAATTAAAAGTAGCAAAAGAAGACAAACAACACCCCAGATTGCAAAGAGAACAATGTTTTATTAAATGAATGCTATGTATATTTATGGGAAAATATTTGTAACATTTTGGAAAGGGTAAAAGTTACTTAATCCAAAATTCATAGCAGCTGAATGTTTTGATGCATGAATGGCTAATATAGCTCAAACACAAAGTCGTTAGATCAGGATAAAAATAAAAACGTGAAAAAAATCAAACGGTGTAAACGATGACTCGGCATCCGGATAATCTTTCCAGGTTTTCTTTTTGTTCCTTCCTACAGGCTCAGTATAACGTGACCCTGACCTGTCAGACCGATCCAGATCAGGTCCTAAACCAGATCCTCTCCGTCCTGCCGGAGAAAAACGTCGACTTCACACAGAAAGGGTGAGATCTCACACTCTTCTGCTCTCTGACAAGAAGACCAGTTCTTTTGGTCAAACTCTACCGTGTTCGTTAATGTTGGCCTCGCCTGTTCAGGTACACCCTGAAGTGTCAGACATGGGGCGACTTGGGGAAGGTGACCATGGCCTTTGAGCTGGAGGTGTGCCTGCTGCAGAGGCCAGAGGTGGTTGGAGTTCGACGCCAGAGGCTGAAGGGAGATGCTTGGGTTTACAAACATCTGGTGGAGGACATCCTCTCAACCTCCAGCATCTGAGTGATGAGGTTCTCCGCAGTAAAAGGACCACAATGATGCTCTTCTGTGTCCTTATAAATTAAGAAAAACTCCCCGGTGAGGAAATAGAAGTTCAGAGGAAGATGTGCACATTATTATTTCTCTGGATTATTGTCTCTAGGTCAGCCAGCAGTGTATAAAAACATGTTTCGTTTAAGTTTATTTCAGGATTCTGGGCTGTTTTTGCTTCTTGTAGAACAAGTTCACGTCCCTTTTCCCATTTTATTAAGCTAAAAGTGATTGTTGTGAGTTATCTGTAGATAAATGTTTAATATGAAATGTAAAACCTCCTTTTGATCTGCTTAACATATTTCTGTCATGATGTTATTCAGCCCTGAAGGCGTAACACTTGACCGGACAAGTTAAAGACGTAGATCATCACTAATTCAATGTTTTTGTTTGTTTTTAACGTCTGCGGTCGTCTCAGGATGTTTACTCTTGTTTGTGTTGTTTTTATTTGTTTTTCCTGTCTTGTTGTCGCTCTGTTTGCCGATGTTTCATTGACAAAGTAAAAGGAACAAAATAAATGTCTGTTTTTACTGAGAAAAGATTGCAGTGGGTTTAGTTTTTGACACCAAACGTTGTTGTGGTCCAAGCAGCTGTTCATCCGTCCATTTGTTCAGGCTGCACTGTGGTGATGGAGGTGATGGCTGTTTTTTTATTTTTAATAAAATCATCCAGGAAAGATTCACTGGATGATGATGATGATCTACAACTGATTAACTTTTGGAAATCTTGAGCTTGATTAAAAGCATTATAAAAATGACAATAAGTGAGGTTATTAAATGAAAACATTTAACGGTACTGGTTAAATCGTGTCATCTGGACCAGTTGCTTTAAGTGAGAAATGTTTCATCCCCCCATCCAGAGGACTTCCTCAGTCTGTGGCCTGCCAACCAGATACGTCCCATAGGTAGCCTTCACTGCTGTTCTGATGCATGCTCAATAATTCAGGTAGAAAAATCCAAAAAGTTCAATCTGGTCCTCTGGACATTCAAAAAAACAAAACAAAGCAAAAACATGTAGAAACGACAAAATGTTTCTACATGTTTTTGCTTTTAGTTTTTTGTTTTTTTGAATGTCCAGAGGACCAGATTGAACTTTTTGGACTTCACTGCTGTGTTTCAAGTCAGCCTCCTGTTGGAATCTCAGATGTAGACTTTTTTAACACGTGCAAACACACCCATACAAAACAATCAATCAATCAATTCAACTTTATTGTCCATAACATTCAATGAAATGGAGATTTGTTTTTGACATCTGGCTTATAAAACAAAATAAAAATGTGATTAAAAAAACTTTAAAACCAAACTTTGCTAAATCAATTAAAAACATTCGGTTAAAACCATTCTAAAATACACAATCATCATGAACAACAATGTTTCAGGCCAGATGACCAACTTGCTACTCACAGAAACTGCCTGAGGACAACCAAGGCCAAAATGGTTCAGTGGTTCTACCTGGATGATTGAACTTACAACCGTTTACTGGTACTCACTTTAACTTTCAGGCTAGAGAAACTGTTTCCAGTGAAAATGCAGCGTGAACGCTTATCGAGTGATTTTTCTTGAAAGTAGCTGAAGCCAGGCTGTATTTGAACATTTGATGAAAGCAGGAAAATAAAAGCAGAATAAATGTGGAGAAAAGACTGAATGAAGCAAATTAAGCTGAAATAAGCAGTGAGAAAAGCTGAAGAACTTACAAAAAATGTGAAATCAAACTGAAATGAGGAGAAAAAAACACTGAAATCGGCACAAAACAGCTGCAAAAGCTGAAATTAGCAGAAAAAGGCTGAAAGAAGTAAAAAGCTGGAATTATTTGAAATTGTCCAAAAAGGAAGGAACTGGCAGCAAAAGCCTAAAAATAGCAGAAGCTGAAATGAGCACTTTGAACAAAGTCAATTATGGAGTCCCATACCAGCTGTATTTGTTATTTTGTAAACAAATCCTATCTCCAAACGTTCGGCTCCTCCTTCAGGACATTCCTGCTGTGACGTTTGGTCTTTGTGCTATTTTTACTTTTTGCAATATTTATCTTTGTCGGCCATGTTTTCTAATTGAAAATGGAGCTCTCTTCACATCTTCTATGTGCTGTTTAAATCTTACTGCTCATTTCAGCTTTCGTTCTACTCCGGCTTTGTTGTGCTATTTTCAGCTTCCTTCGGCTCCTTTTGTCATATTTCTGCCAAATTCAGCTTTTTATTCTCTTTTCAGATTATTTCTGCTGAATGTAACTTCTGCTTTTTCTGCTTATTTTTAAGTATTTTTCTGTTAATTACAAGCTTTAATTTTCGCTATAATTTCCACCTTTTTTGATTGTTTCTAATAATTTAAACTAAAGCTCCTTTCAGCTTTTTTTTAGTTTATTTAACTTTTCCAGCGACTTTATTTTTATTTTTTTGCTAACTTTATCTATTCTTATGTTCATTTCATTTTTATTTCACTAACTTCAGGTTTGTTTATCCACCGTCTGCCTGTTTCAGCTCATTCTGCTACATTTCTGCTCTTTTCGGCTGTTTTTATTTTTACACATTTTTGTCGGTTTTCTTCCGCTTTCCGTTTTACTTTCCTGCTTTCAGCAAACATCAGCTGTTCAAGTTCAACCTCCAGTGACGGTTTAGCTGTGAAACTTTTTCGGCCTAGTTCCAGCTTCTTCAGCAGCTTACAGCTAAAATCAGCAGCAAGCATTCACACAGCATTTTCACAGGAAATACTATTTTTTTATTTGTTTTATCTCCTTAGAAATATTTCTTATTATCTGATATCGATCCTTTATCTTTACGCGCTTCTTCCTTTCAGGGTCACTGGTGCCCATATCCAGCAGTTACTGTGTGAGAAGCCGCAGCTCTACCAACTTCGTCACAGGGACGCCCTTTTTTCTAGTATTTCAAAATAAAATGATGTATTGCAGCTGATCAGTTTTTACTTGAGGCCGGTGTCTCAGCTGGGAAGAAAAGGGTAACTGGGTTCAGTTGATGAGGGAGCTGGACCTAATGGGGATGGTTGGAGGTGTGGAGGTTGTGTTTTCTGTATGAAAGGAAAAGATACATCCAGATTCATCTCTTCCTCATAGCACAATTTTCAGATTACTTCCTTACGAAGAAAACTAAATCTTACTGTGAGCTGTCGTTGAAGGCCTCTGCCATCATCCCTCCCCTGAAACAGGTGGCGCTTATATTCCCAGAACTCATTGTGGACTCATTAATCCCACCCTGCCTGAAAACTACAACAGAGAGCCTGTGTGTGGAAGAAAGGATTGCTTGATTAAATCAGGGCAAACAGAGCAGTGCTGGATTAAGATTGAGCTGATCATTGTACCACCAGTTTGGGCTCTGTTGGGTGAGAAGGAATCTATAATTTTAATAAACTGCAGCAATCAAGTAGATGAAATGTGAAGCTGTCCTTGGATCATGTGGTAACGTTTGGACGGATTAGTTTTGTGTTGTTGCCATTTTACAGATCTGCAGGAGAAATGAGGAGCTTCCTGGCCGTTTGTCTCGTTCTCCTTTTCCTGTGTGAGTTGATTCTCATGAAACAACCTCAAATGATAGAAATTAGTTCCTTTGGGCAGCAGATGTGTGCGTCTGTTGTTTCTGTCGGTATATCTGACTCTTATTAATTTTGCAGGGCTGCAGAGGTCAGGTGAGAGTGGACATGTTTGTGAGGTAGGTTAATGCAAAACGCTGGCTGTGAGGTCTTTAAATGTTCTGTATACTGGAGACAAAACATTTGGATAAGTTTTATCAATTTAATGTCCTTGTTATACTAGTTTGGTCTACTTTCACAAACTGTCTTGTTGTAGTTTTATTTATGTCCTGGTACTATCAAACTCTTAAATGGTCAAAATAGTAAAAATGTCAATCTATATATGTTGGGAGCATGTTTTGTGTGAATAAATTGAATTAAAATCATTTTTACCTCAAAAAACAAGATTTAAAAGCAACAAATGGATTCATTCAACCTTTATTTATTTAAACGGGTAAATCCCATTGAGCCTTGAGGACTCCTTTACAAGAGAGACCTGATTTTAACAAAGAATGATGACAACAATGTACAATTATAAAAAGTCATACAGATTTTTTTTTTTAAACAAATAGGAAGGCTAAAGAAAAGAAAAGTAACAAAAAACAGCTAGATTCTAAGGTGAATGTAGAAAACTAACAACAGGAACATGTCTGCATTGGTCCCTGCCAGGAGTCCAACAGATTCTTAAAGCCACTTAGAGAGATCAAGGTCGAGAGCTTCATATTTTTTTGTAAGATATTCCAGGAAACAGGAGCGGAGTAGGAGAAGGCCCTTTTGCCAAGTTCAGTCCTCACTGAGGGAACACTGCAGGTAATAATGTCCTGAGAGCGCACGCTGTAGCTGCACTCACGCAGAGACATGTAGGAGGAGATGTTAATGATGGTAATTGATGCCGTTGCCTGTGTTTCACTCAAAACAAGACATAATATGTTTTACAAAGTGACTTTGACTATAAATTGCTACTCTATGTAGAAAACTATATAGAGTAGCAAGTTGGTCATCTGGCCTAAAACATTTGATTGTTGTACATGATTGTTTTGGATGGGTTTGTTTTGCACATGTTAAGTCTACTTTAGAGATTTCAACAGGAGGTTGACTTGAAACACAGCAGTGAAGGCTACTTATGGGACAGATCTGATTGGCAGGCCGTAGACTGAGGAAGTCCTCTGGATGGGGGATGAAACAATTCTCACTTATAGAAACTGGTCCAAATGACATGATTTAACCTGTTTTGTTGTTTATAATATAATATTTTATGATCCACTAAATCATTTTAATTGAAAATCTTAGAAAGTAATCATTGAGTTGACATCTGGGACCACCTGTTGGAGTCAAACTGATCCAAGATGCCTCCACGACTAACTAAGATTTAAAAAATGGCTATAATTGAGTCTAGTTTACAGATCCTAAGCTAAAATTCAAGGTGATGGAAGCTGCCAGTCATCCAAACACACACTC